CCCGTACACCCACACAGATCACCTCACCCGTACACCCACACAGATCACCTCACCCGTACCTCACAATGCGGTACACCCACACATCTTGCATTATGTAAGCGACTTTTTATCTCGTATATTATATTTGTCGTGAGTCAAGTTCCGACTCTCGGATTTCTTTATCCGAAGTTGTGTCTCGGTCAACTTTTCTCTCCTGAGATTATGTAATATTTTGCGACATGTCTCTGTTGCAAATGTCTGCGGGTAACATTTATCGCTCGTGACTTCTTTTGCCCCATGACTTTGTGCGCGTGACTTCTTCTGAGTTTACTTTTTCGTTATCTTCTCAAAGTCTTTTGTGGTTGCAAAATTATGCAGAGTGAGGAATCACACACGTGAGGAATTTAATTTCTTTGACAACGCGATAGTTATGTTAAGTATTTATTACTAACTTTCTTATCACTTAAAACATAAAATGAGTATTTAATATTTATTTTATTGCTGAGTTTGAACATGTTATTAATTAATATGTTATACATAATCGAATTGATCAATGTCAGATCTTATTAATATATTACTGTAGCCATGTATATCTATATCAATTATTTTAATTGGCTGTGGATCTATATCGTAAGATGAGTCTTTAATCTCTGTGAATTTCCCAAACATATTATACTACTTATCCTTTACTTGCTCTAGTTAACTGCTGATGCTTTTCTAACTGTCCTTCACTATTCGCACAATTTTTCAAAATTCTTTTTCTTCCATTTTTTGCAACTTTTATACCTTCTCACCAACCATTGAAATAACTGTACAACAGAGAATAAATAAACGTGAAAAAAACTCAGATGTCGAAGGTTGTAAAACTAACTTAGTTCTAAGTGCAGGAATGTTTCACATATTTTTTGAAGTTCAAATTATTGACTTTATCTCCCACGAGAAGTGCAAAACAGGTTATGTCCCATGTAACATACTTGGGTGTTATGAAGAAGTTGTGCTTTCCAATTAATTGTTTATTATGTTGTATCTGTGATGCAATAATATACTAATTGGGTGAGTCTCCTTCATTTGGTGTTATGAAGTCTGGTATGAAATCAACTATTAAGATTTCACTTTTCTAAGAATATCACTTCAAGCACCTATATTTACGATTGCTTTTCATATGATTGAAAGAGAAATCTTTTACAGATGGAATTAATCTAACCAAAAGTTGCTAATCAAAGAACAACCCAGTTAAGAGAGAAATGTGCGATTTTGCTTCTAGGAAATGGATATACCAAGAAAACTTTATGAGGGCGCATCTGGTGGCTATGAAAGATGTAATTGGAGATGTCAGAAGCTGTTTCGGATGCAATGTTATATCCCTGATGTTTAGGTCTTTCCCGAATATTCTATAAGACAAGATGAAGATGAAATGAAAAATTTTATAAATATAACTAAAATGCCATAGTGAGATGAACCATTTGGCTCAGACGAGAATATTTATTTCATATGATATTTTAGTCAGTCTCACTACTGTCGAGATGCTCACGATTGATCGATAATATCGAGTAAAACTCTTTGTTAGTGTAGTATTTACCAAAAGCAATGGGAATAGTAGTTGAGATGATCAGTATAATTGTGATCCAAAGCTTTCATTAGTCACTCTTGTGTTTTAATTTTCCTACATTTCTTTGCTCTTGAAATACAGCGAGTGTCAAATGTGAAAGGTTTTGAGTGGACGAATCTCATTAGATGTTTCAAAATCTATGTGAGCATCCCGCATAAAAATCATATGTGGTGTCAAGTCCCTTGAAATTGATGTGTCTTGAAAGGAATGAACATAATCCAAACACAACTTCAATATTCGTTTGTCATTGCATCATTATGGAGATATTGTTATTGAGTAGCGATGAAAATTTTTGAGGATTTTTGTTTCTTATTCATATATTTTGGAGTGATTATTGTACACTCCATGTTGAAATATAATGGAAATATAATGCAATTAGGTTTGAAGAAATTTGGATGATTTATTTAGCGTGAGTCTTGAGCTTTGCCAGATGATCGTCAAATTCTCAATTTACTCCGAAATTATTGTTAAAGAATACAACATGGAGCGTTTGGTTCCGACACCAATTTTTCATTCACATGCAGGAAATGGGGCCGTCTCTTCAAATGTATGATGATTTTTAATAGTTGACACATTAAGGGAAAATATAGTTGACAGCAAAAATTAAGCTTCGTATTATAAGTCGGTTTTGATGCAAGATAAAATTGATTGCAAGTAAATTAGGTGGCTATGCCCCTCAGATATTTGAATTCAAAACTATTCCTTGAGAACGAATATACTGGGGCCATCAGATTTTTGATATATCGCCTGATGGAGGTCCAAAGCCTACTCCTTGCCTTTGTTGATTATTCAAAATCTTCCGTCTTTTGATTGGTTTGCCGATGTCTCATTGACGAGAAGGTGTTAGATTGTTAAGTCCTTCACATTGTTCGAAATTCACGGAAGGAATTAACGAGGATAATAATATACTTGTTACAACATGAAATGTGTCAAATAAGAAATTATGTAAAAATGAATCGATATTTTATGATTACTCTCCATGTAAAATTTGCTGAATTCAAGTTTGAATTCACTTGCCTCTCTCTATCTTGCAAATGAAATGTTAAATGGCGGAAAGAGTGAAATGACCAGCTGACCGGTGTTGATCCGCGAAAAGGAAAAATTCTTTTGCCTCAAACCTGTCAGTAGTATCACCGAGAACAATTTCCATTGTACTACTTATATCCAGGCTATGTAATTTACGAATTCGGGAAAAGACACAGTTAAACAATAGAATATCCCTGGAAATTGTTTGAATTCGAATTTTGCCAAATAGGGGACTCAAAATTCAAAAATAGCGTTAATATTACTGGAGGAAACAGGGACTTCTTTTCTTAAAAAATTGATAAGGGAAGTGTTTTGACATCTTTAGCTTTCTATGCTGCACCTTTTGTGTATAAAATGCGGCCAATAGAAATTCTTTCTGCTCAAATAATTTGTGGTGGCCATTTTCTAATACATTCGCCATCAACCAAATAGCTACTGATCGTTAAGCACGATGAAGGATAAGCTCCGCGGTGAGTAGGATACGAAGTATCCGCAATAACGCGAGAACAACACGACTTTTATAGGTTGAAGTACATAATTGGTACCGAGAAGACAGTACATTCTGTGTCCTCTTCGAGAAGAACAGGCCCTGCGGATAGAGAAAAGGAAAATGAATAATACATGGAACTTTTATTTGAATTAAGACTTTTTTACTTGGAACTGGATTTTCATTTGTTATTGATGCAACCTTCATATCCAACTTTCAATTACCATAATCAGATGATAGTTGATTAGAATCAAGTTTCCCCAAATGATGGTTATCTGTATTTGATGATATTTTATCCGTTTAGTATTGATCCCATATTCAAATTGAGGTTGTTCCAGAGAAAGTGATTTTAAATTTCCCCAAAATAGAACTAACAATGCATTTGTTCAAATGCCAAAGACATATGAAGATTGACAATGCTATTGTATTTATTACCTGAAACGGATGTGAAATGGTTGTTTTGAGCCAATTTCCTTTTCTGTACGTCTTCACAAGTTAGGAGAATTACTGCTTTCAACGAATACTGCCTAATTTGGTTACAAAGAGATGTCCTTAGAGTTGATAATATGAATCTATATTTTTAAAATACCTAATTAGTCAGCTCATGAGAATTCTAATGGAAGTTTTTGCCGTGATTTCATCGAGAATTTATGGATATAGCCTATTTTTGTATTAATTACACAATATTTGAAGTAACTGTAATTTGACAGCTTGCGTTTACGAGAAATTACATGTTCGGAAATTCTATCGAGAGGTCTATTTGAACCTTCAGGAAATTCAGTTCCTTTGTTGCCCTATGATAGGAAAATGACACGACACATTTTGAATCCAAGCTAACATAGAACTTGGTACGTAAAAATATTTTGATATAAATTGGTCCCAAATACCTCGAAAGCTTGAAATCAATCGTGATGAAGCTTTCTATTTTTGCTACTTTGGCTCTACTCACTTCTTTTGTGAAAGCAGATTTCGACATTGGAACTCCTTGTCATCCTGTCAACCTCGATCCAGGATTGAAAGTAGACTTTTATGACGAAGTTGAGTACCGTGCTGTGGGAGACGACGAATCAGATGGACCCCAATATTTAGCCTACCTCAAGAAAATCGCTAAAATGAAAGTATCTGCCACCGTTAATGGAGTTGAAGACATAAATTTTAATGTTACTAAAATTCCAAAGCAAGGTGCTGTCTATTATACATTATATGGAAGAAAAACTAATTTCAGACAATTTGGTTTGAAATACACAGGTTATGTTTTAGCTACTCAATCGGGAGTTCACACATTCAAGATGAATTTCGTCGATGATGCAGGTGTAGTATCAATAGGTACAGGTTCTGCCTTCAAGTGTTGTACAACTCCAACTAATGACATCGTAGATCATCAGTTGTTCAATTTCGGTACCGCTGGTCCTTCATCAAAACAAGAGACTAACAAAGCAAATTTAATAGCAGGAATGTATTATCCTATCCAGATTGTATTCTATAATAAAGCTCCAGGAGGTGCAGGTATTCGATTTCAGATTACGAGACCGGATGGTAAAACTCCAAATCCGACCTTTTACCATGCTATCACTGATAAACCCCAGCAATGTATTACAACAGCAACTACTACAACTTCCTATTGGACTGAATCATATGCGACAACCCGTAGTATTACACCTACAGCTGGAGGAAATGAAACAGTTATTGTAGAACTACCAGATTGGCAAACGACCACAATTCCTGGTACTTCTGCTAGAACATACACTAGTATAATTACCACTGGCTCGGTCAATTCCACTGAAGTTGTCGTTGAAACTCCGTTACCAACCACTTCTATTCAAGGATCTGTGCATACCACTTATACTAGTGTTGATACTGAAGGCTCTGTTCCAGTCACCGAAGTTGTTGTTGAGACTCCATTACCAACCACTTTTATTCCAGGATCTGTTCTCACTACCTACACTAGTGTTGATAGTTCAGGTTCAGTTCCAATTACTGGAGTTGTTGTTGAGACTCCGTTACCAACCACTTTTATTCCAGGATCTATTCTCACTACCTACACCAGTGTTGATAGTT